TATAATTTTAGCGATAATTATTTAGATGCAGGGCCTTAACGACTAAAAATTAGAAGCTCAAATTTTGGATGAATAATAGAAGGTTTCTACAACGCAAGTTACAGAGCAAAATTTTATATTTAATTTTAAAAAAATATTTACTGGCAGTTTAAATTTCATCCGGATTAGGCCGCTTGCAATTGAATTTTCGGTTAACGTCACTTTCAGAAATCTTGGGTGGGGGGATAAAATTAAACGAACATATAGAATGAACAAATATGAGAGAATTTGATTGGTCAATGTAAATAATGAGATTGGTGAGAGTTATCCAGCGCTTAGATTGTGTGTTCATTTCTCGGGGGCTGAGGCTAACCGAAGAATCAACTTCGAACTGCCTTATCCAAATAACAAATAAAGTTGAAAAAAAAAATTCATTCCCCACATGTAATGTAACTTTGTTACCAGAATAGGAAAGAGTCGATTGTCGTGATTGTCATTTTTAAAATTGTGTTGCAACCTGTGAAGGCACGCCAATTTTACATATTTTTATATATAAATATGTCACTGATAGTCATACATACTGACAAAAAATACAAAAAATATTAGTAACCACATATACTTAGTTGACCGTTATGTGATTTAAGTTAGAATAAAGTGGATTATGATCCAATTATTTTTCACAGTTTTTTTCATAAAATATGCGTGTAACAAACGGATGCATTTGTTGGTTTTATTTTAGATTATCATCACAAGATTTCCAGCACTAGCATTTGCACCTTACAAGGTTCTACAAATTCAAAATTATCCACTAAAGGGTCTGTTTGGTTTAATAATCTTTGATTAATTTAGGACAAAGTGAAACCTGAGTTAATTTTTATTATTAATGTGAATGCAAAAATGATAAAATTCGCGTTTGTTAGGTTACCTTTTTGATACAGATCTACATTTACTTAGGGTTAAGTCGTGATATGCATCAATAACTCAATAATGTAATCATCTCTGATGACATTAGTAATGATTACTAAAGTTTAGAAAAAAAGATTATTTAGTAAACAAAAATGAAAGCCAAACCTCATTTAAGTATAAGTGAATGCACAAAAATGCTTAGTCATACAAAGTTAATTTTTCGGTTTGCAACAATTGGATCGGCGGGTTATGCAAAACGAAAAATCAAATTTACGTGGCCTTAAATACACGTCTATTTCTCCTTTTTCACCTTTTAAGATAATCAAATAATATTGAATACTAAAAAAAAAATGACTATCAAACTTATTGGATTTCTTATCTCAACTTCTACTCTTAGAGTTATTATATGCCTTAAGGAATTAGGTATTCCTTACGAACTCGAACCTCCAGCTAGTTTTCAATCTTTAAAAGACAAAGATTATATCGCGAATAAGCACCCATTGTAAGTATTATCTACTACATATCCTAAATGTTTATATATACGCAGAAATTAGATTACTAACAAGCTATAATAGTGGAAGAATCCCAGTTCTTTTTGATGGAGATTTTAGAATTAACGAATCTCGTGCAATTTGTCGTTACCTAGTATCTAAATACCAAGGCAAATATAATAATACAATCTTGATTCCCAACGATGTTTACAAAGCCGGATTAGTTGAACAATTCATTTCTTATGAATCATGTTACTATGACTCGCCAGTTTCACAAATCGTAAGTCAAGAATTGTTGGCTAAAAAATTTTGGGGTAAAGATCCTGACCCAGAAGTTCTTAAGGAAGCTCGTAAAAACCTTAATAAAGTTTTAGATGTTTATGAGAAACTTTTGGAAGGAAAAGAATATTTGGTTGGAGAATTTTCTTTAGCTGATATCTTTCACTGTCCTGGTACTAATTTAGCCTACGGTATTGTCACCCATTCTGATTTATGGGATAACAGGCCTAATGTTAAAAATTGGTGGAATAATTTGTGTAATAGGGACACCATTAAAAAATCTTTTGAAGAAGTTAAAATTTCGGGAAAACTATAGTTTATAGTTTATTTATTTGTATTTTTTTATTTTGTATTTTGCTTTATAAATTTATCTATTAAAACTGGCAAAAATTGTTCACATTAATAAATTCTTTCTTTTCCCTATCTTCGTATACCGTAAGTTCAACTTTCATATTCCAGATTGACCATATAACCCAATACAGTAAAACCTCCATAAGTGCACCCTCTATAAATGCACCTTTTCTTATTATTCTCTAAGTGCATGTCATTAAAGTTCGGTCCCGAGAGTGTGCACTTATGGAGGTTTTACTGTATAGGGTAAACCATCGACCCTATTCTTATTTGAGTACCGTGCATAGAGATAGGATATGTTACATAAATTGCAATTTTACACAATTTTATGTATCATACATAAAGCACCAGATTTACAAAATGTTTGCCCAGCATTATTGTAACTCTTAAATCGGCGAAAATTTGGTTTAATACAACTATCCTAACCAACCTAAACTATCGCTTTCCTAACATAAACAATCCCACCGTAAGCATGAGGTCAGAAAACAAACCAAAAAATTGGTCATAACACCTATGAAACTACCTTCTGCACATTAATAAAAAGTTTTCCTTGCTAAATTTTTGATATTAGAAAAACTCTTTCTAACCTAATTTAGCAGCAAATTTTTTAATTTGGTAACGCTAGGACAATTGTTAAGTATCATGTGTTCAAAATTACAATTACATGAAATTTCAAAGAATCTTAAGCAAAATTACACAAAATTACGTAAATTGCCATAATTTTAACATCCTACATAGAGATGGACAAATCAAAGATTTTTTGAATCTACTTTGCAGGCTACACTGGCCTGCATTATAGTAATGCGGGTCAGAATTGCGAACTTTCGAATATTCAACTGGGGTAAAATCGCACCCAAAAAAGTTTCGAACATCACGTGACAAACACATCGAACACTAAAAATTCATATTTATTATAGCCAAAAAGTATTATAATTACGGTTTTTCTAAATATTTGGAATATTCCATTGCCTTTTAAAATGATTATAATCCTCCAATTTATGCAATGGCACAAAGTTTTTATTAATACTATCAAGCCATTTGTTACTACTTATTTTTTTCAATAATTTTTTGTTGCTGCATCCTGGATCCAAATAAATAATCAGAGTTATAATCTTACGGAAGAGCATTAAAAATCAAATCTACAAGATTTTCTGGTTTAATTGATTGATTTTTATTATTTCTTTCTTTTTTTCGTTTATTATTAATGGAAATTTGGTTATGGTAATCAACATATACTTTAGAATAGTGTGCTTATTGGATTTTATGCTTTTCACTACCGTTTTTCACTTTAAAGAATCGAAGAAAAAAAAAACGCTTACTAAATCACTTATGTTAATATTTTAATATATATTATTATCATGATCTAATCATAATGAATTGAAACTTTTTTGGGTGGAGATTTTACCCCGGTCGAATATTCCCAAAAAAAGTTTCGAAAATCATGTGATATTGTCAATTCATCATGATTAGATCATGATAATAATATTTATGAAAATATTAACTAATTGATTTAGTGATCTTTTTTTCTTTGATTCTTTAAAATGAAAAGCGTTCGTTAAAAGCATAAAATTCAATAAACACACAATTCTAAAAATATACAATTCTAAAAATATATGTTGATTGCCATAACCAAATTTACAATAAACGAAAAAAATAATGAAAATTGGAATAAAATTATAAATCAAAAAAATGCAAATGAACCAGAAAATCTTTTTAATGCTCTTCCGAAAGATTATAATTCTGATTATTTATTTGAATCCAGGGCGCGGAAACAAAAACTATTGAAGAAAACGAATAGTAATAAATGTCTCGATAGTATTAATAAAAACTTTGTGCCATTGCATAAATTGGAAGATTATAATCATTTTAAAAGGCAATGGAATGTTCCAAATACTTAGAAAAACCGTAATCACAATACTTTCTGGCTATAATAAATATTACTTATCGTTATTATTTTGTTAGTCTAAATATTTTTGTTTAAGTTACATGAATTTTTAGTGCTCGATATATTTGTCGAAACTTTTTTGGGTGGCTGGTCTAAATTTATATCAGGTATATTAGTACAAACAATACCTCCGAATGTCACATGACTGATCAGGTGGTTTAAACAAAAATTGCTTCGACACGTAGAAATGTCTAATTAATCGAAAATTTTACTCTGTAACTTTTTCTTGTTATACTATGTGCATGTATATGAGATGAGTAATTTTATTAAAGTAATAACTAAAAATATTACTCCGTAACTTTTTTTTATTATACTATGCGAATTGATTATTGTAATAACTAAAAATGCCCAATTAATAAAAAATATTACTCTGATTTTTTTTTATTATACTATGCAAATTGTTACTACAAAAGTTTCTTTAAAAAAATAGCTTGTATACGAGGTGAATCGATTTTTACATTATTGCATCTCACATGATTTTGATTAATTAGTATATCGGAAGCCCACCATTGTTCGATTATAACGATACAAAAACTGCATTGAATACGTTGTGAGTACGTTGTGAATACATTGTAAGGCACATCAAACCATACTATCGACTTCAAGTTTATGTCTGTGACCTTGCACTAAATTGGTGTCGCCTCTTCCAGGCCACTACAACTTAGCTGTTGTTTAATGCATCTAAAACTCTAAATAAATTGGAATTTGAAACTTGATATATTAAATGCAAATTTATCACAATTATTCGCAATTATTCATTATATCGTTGACATTAACAATCAATAAATATATTATTGATATCAAAAGTCATTAAATATATCATTGATATCAAAAGTCGTTAAATAATAAATATCAGCATAATAACTTAACTGGATCATTTATGTATCAACATTTTATATCTGTATTATAAAATATTTCTATTTCAATACATATTATAGCAGTTAAATATCATCTTATTCTGTAGCGAATTTAACTTCATTTTTTAAAGATCAAAATTTCATCATCACACACCTTTTTTCTTTTTTTATATACATTTCTCTAAATGTCCAATGAAGGTTTTTGAAGAAATACAGGCGGTGGTAGACAAAAAAGATAAGAAAGAAATTAAAAAAATATTACTTATTGGCAGAACTGGAGGCGGTAAATCTACTATAGCAAATGTATTGGTTAAAAAGGACGACAAATTTGTAGTAAGCAGTTCAAGTGGTAGCTCAACAAAATCAACGCAAGTAGAAAAGTTTGAAGAAGATGAGATAAAATATCAAGTAATTGATACAGTTGGACTTTGTGATACAGCGATGACAAAAGAAAAAGCAATGAGCGAACTAGCTGAGACCTGTAGACTGATAAAAGGTGGTCTATACCGAATTTTATTAGTAACGGGAGATAGATTTACAGAAGAAGAAAACAAGATGTATTATACGATGAAGGAAACGATTTTTGATCACAAGTTTAGTCATTTCACGACCATTATTCGTACCAAATTTCCAGGTTTTTTAGATCAAGAAGAATGTAAAAAAGAGGAAGAGAACTTGGAAAAGACAAATCCAGATTTTTTCAAGATAATTAAAGAATGTAAAGATATCATTTTTGTAGATAATCCGCCTTTGATTGGATTGCCTAAATCCATTGAAGCAAACAGAGATGTGCGAGAGTGCTCAAGAAAAAAAATAATTGAAAGTTTTATTCCTAGTGATGAAAAGTATTATCCTCCTAACTTAAGACAATTAAGTGAAAAGTTTGTTGCGCACTTTGAGGAAAAGGAGAAGCTAGAAAAAGAATTAAAAGAAACAAAGGAATTGTCTAATCAGGATAGGAAAAAAATGAAGGAAAGAATAAAAGAGCTTGAGAAAGAGATAGAAGTGGAAAAAGCCAGAGGCATTCGAATTATTTGTACAGTCATGTAACGTTTTATAAAAGATTGACTAAGATTATCTATACTCCTTGTATATTTTTTCTTGTATATTTTTTCTTGTATATTTTTTGAATTTTTATCAAACAAACGAGTAAGCGAGTAAAAGGCGGAAAGAGGAATAGTATCTATTTTTCAGTTGGTAGTTTTTTATATGAATGCTATTAATTAGCAAGAAGTTATCGTTATGTACAGATATATATTTTTCTATTACTAAAAAATAAAATTATGCTGTTCTTATAGTTATGTTTTGCACAAGATGCACGTTGTTTCAAATCGTTTACCACTACTACATGAAAGGAAGAGTCATTCATCATAACACGAACGCGAAAGCCAACTTTAATTATTGTAATTATAAATGTATTTATTTACTGTTCAGATTCAGGTGCTATAACTTTTTCAGAAAATCTTTTTACGCAAGTTTATTCTAGTAATTCTATGATATTAACCATATTACAAATTGTAGTAATACATGTACTTTGAGTAAACTTATCTGTTATGGTGAAAACCTAAATTTTGAGCACGATTAATAGGGCATTTGGACATCCAATTTACAGGTATACAATTATAGTGAAAGGTAAAGCTTTATTAAGATAAAAATTATTACCTCTAAGTTTTGTTATTAAACATATAAGATCCATTATTGCTTCTTTTGTTAACGCTTTGTCTATGTACGTACGTACTACATGTTAGCACACCTCAAAGTGTTATTGTTACACCATATATACGTATGTCGATGCCCCCACCTGCATCTTTCACTCTACTCCTTTTCTTTCTCAACCCCTTAATAACTTCTGTGGAATACCAATTGGCCGTCAACAAATCAATCTCATTATGCGGTATAAATTCTAATAATGCGTACAAAATTAAATATTTTAATATATTACCTAAATTTAACGTATGTAAATTCCTCAGAATGAGAATTACTCATATCAATACATTGTCATCTAGTTTGTCGTTCAATGGCAGAGTTAATAACTAATTTTAGCAATTATTGACATTTTTTTTGCAGAATAAATAATAACAATAAATGACTCATTTTTAATATGAAGATGTGCATACATACTAAATAGGATCAAAGTTTGCAACCATTTTTTCTAAATGAGACAAGAAGTACGTATGTACATACGTACGCAGCCGACAATGCTTGACATACATATATGCTATGTACTTGGAAAAAAAAATCTCTCATTATTTTCGCATAAATTTTTGAATGTGTTCCCCTTAAATAAATGGATAAATGGATGTGAGTTGCCGAAATTTACATTTTAATGTTATAATCAAATGTTCTTCCACGTATAGATAGCTGAATAATTAAAAGCATGCATAACTTTTATCAGGGGAGCATAAAAATATCGTACAATCTATAATTCGCAATAAAAGTTTAATTCAGGAGTACATTTTACGAATATTATAGGAAAGGATTCATTGGATAACATTGGATAATAATATAAAAATACATCACATTACATGAATAATTATTTAATATATGTATTAATAATAAAGTAATTGTTTTCATGAGATCGACTTAAACAATACCGATATACATGATTTTCCTTAATTTTAAAAGATTTCCTTGTAATCTGTAAGAGAGATAAATGTGGCCATTACAATTTATTTCTGCACCAATTGGCATTGTTATTATGTTTAACAACTTAAATTTTAATGAAAAATTTAGCTTGAGGTTATTTTTCCAGTTTTCCTAAATGAACTTCATTTATGGATGCACACATACATACGTGTGCACTTATTTATAAATGATACAAATCCAAAAAGAGAAACTAGCCAATCGGAGAACGTAAAAAGTAATTATCCCGGATATGCACAAAGCGAAGAAAAACAGAAAAGAAAACGAAAAAAGCGAAAATACTGGAAAAAGAAAAATGACAGATTGGAACCGTTTAACTGTGAAAAAAATTGCTCCATAGTTCCGGGCAGAATTATTTTGGTCGTGAACCGGAATTATTTTAAATTAAACGGTGGTTAAACGGTTAAACGATTAAGAAAAATTTTAGGTAGTTCCAATCCCTAATAAAAAATAATTATTTCTTTCACTAATTTGGGTTTATTTATACGTTGAATTACCTTTTTTGGTCCTGTCATAAACAAATACTCCCTTTAGAAAAATGCTGTCATAATGTATGTATACAATATTAACATGCAAAATACATATCGATATGCACAATAATCTAAACAAAGTAAATTTGCGTTAAAAAATTTTTTTAACGCATTGAACTTTAGAGATTTATGTTTTGCATAATTGCACACTATTGATAAAATACATATTGTCAAATTTTGTATAAAATAATGAGGTCCTCTTCGATCTCAACTTTGGGCTTGATCTATCTTTAAATCGAAGGTGTTCAGAATTAATAACCTTCCTCCTCTTCTCCTTCTCCTCTTTTCCTCCTCCTCTTCTCCTCTTTTCCTCCTCCTCCTTTTCTCCTCTTACTTTACTATCCCTCCTTCTCGACCTTTTCCAAATCTCAATTTTCTCTTGAGATTTCTTGAACACCTATTAAACATGAAGTCATCATTCATTACCACTATTGCTGCCATTTTCATCGCTTTGCTCTCTTTTGAAGCTTTAACCGTTTCCGCGCGTACAAAATGTTCAGGAAGCTGTAAAAATGCAAAGATAAAAGCCAATGGTACTCAAATTAAAACCGGTGAAGATAAAAGTGGTTTTTGTTCCAATTTAATCCAAGGACAAATTCCTTCCAATTTGAAAATGGTCTCCTCTCTTATCATTCATCCTACTGATGGTGAAGAAATTCAAGAAAATAAACGTTTCGTTGTAAACGTTAAAGTTAAACATTTGAATACTGGTTTCTTCAGTGATCCTAACACTGAATATTATACCATTCCTCAAAAACTTGGTAAAAATGGTTTCATTAATGGTCATTCTCATGTTACTATTCAAAAATTAGATGGTGATGAACCTCCAGATCCAACAAAATTTGCTTTCTTCAAAGGATTGAATAATAAAGCAAAAAATAATTTATTATCAGTTACTGTTGATGGTGGATTACCATGTGGTTCTTACAGATTATGTACAATGTCTTCTTCATTTACTCATCAACCAGTTATCATGCCAGTTGCTCAACGTGGTTCTCAAGATGATTGCATTCGATTTAAAGTTGTTAAAAAATAATTTATTTATAATTATACTTCTTTTTAATTTAATAATCCTTGATCAATAATCTTATAATTTTGTATAATTACAATATTCTTTAATTTGATTAATATTCTTTGTTGTAAAATGAAAATTTCTTAAACTCTATATTTGAGTTGTACTACAGTACATATGTAGATGTAGATACAGTAAGTAGATTAGATTACTTGTACGTACATAAATACGTAGGTGTAGATAAGTTTTCCAACGTAAATGCTATTATTTTTTCTTTAAAGAAAAAAAAAAGTTCAATAAAGAGCAGTAATTAAATTTTTAAATTCCTAGGTTACGAATATGTGTACAGTGTGCCTAACTCGAGCTTAGGTATGAACCGGTTATTATAATACAACTTAAATGAAGGTTCAGGTTAAAACTTAAATTTCAGGTTAAACAAACTTAAATTTCAGGTTAAACTTAAATACAGGTTAAAACTTAAATTTGAATTCAGGTTAAAACTTAAATTCAGGTTAAACCCGAACAGATTTTAAAATTAAAATTCGGTTTTAATTTCAACCTGGTTTAACGTTAATTATGTAATTACGTAATAGTATCGTATACGCGCGAAATAACGCCACGGGCATTATTTTGAGATACATAATTTCTAGAAAGTTAAGAATTAAATTTAGACAATTATTCCTTAAAAAAATTTAATTCTTAGATTTCTAGAAATTGTGCCTCAAAAAAACGCCATGATATTTTATTACGTAATTATTTATGCAAGATACGTATTACGCCAAACATAACGATAACATAGTACATAAGTACATATATGTTAACACTAAGATAAAGTGGCCCAGACATTTTTTTATAACTTACGATAATTCACCGGGAATTAGGGATGTTAAAAGTTCGGTCCGGTCCGATTCGACTCCAAAAGTCGAGTCTTTATTAAAGTTTGGTTCCAAGTCGGACTTGGAACTTAATCGCATTTCATGTGCATCTTGAACATTTATATAACCAAAAAAAAATGAATGCATGCATATTTTGCATGCGCATACATTTTTTTTTTAATGCTATATGTAATATACAAGTTGCACGTGAAATGCAAGTCGAGAACCCAAGTCTGACTTGGAACCGAACTTTAATAAAGACTTGACTTTTTTGGAGTCGACTCAAAAAAACCGACTCGGACCGAACTTTTAACATCCATACCGGTAATTCTATCGTTAAACATACAACTAGAGATGGGCCACGCGCGGGATCCGCGGTTTTTTTTTTGGATCCCGCGCGGGATTTTTAATATGAGATTATTTGGCCTGCATTAGCATATCATCTGGCCTGCATTA